AATGTGGTGAAGAATTTATTAAGATGAAACGAGCAGTGCAGAACTTGAAAAGCAAACCCATAATTATTAATAGATTTTAAAATTGGCAGGCAATTGATTTTTGAAATGTCCTTTCAACCTTGTGTGTAATGCAGTTTGCCTCACAGTGATAAATTAGCAGCAGCACTGTGCTGTGACTGTTTCTACTGGAAGGTTCTCATTACCATTCAGGGGTTTTGCTGGCTCATCAGTGAATCGTGGACAGCATTTCGATTGCTGAAGTGTGGCCCAGAAACCAGAGAAAGGATAGGAAACACAGTCTATAAAAACCTTTTCTTGAATTCTAAGATTGATCAGGTTCTTGAATGAGACTAACCTCTTTGGCCTTAGTGTTACTATTTCTTACGTATCCCAGAGGAAGTGACAGTACATTCATCTCCTCTGTCATTCTCCTTAAATCTTGGTATTCTTGTTAATCTGTCAGGAAAATAAGAGCAGTAACATGTAATGGACCAAATGTGCTTTTTTTTTTTTTTTTTTTTTTTTTTTTTAATTGAAAAGAACAGTTCGCTTAATCCCAGCTGCACTGGGCTGTAATCTAATGTTTTGATCCAACTTTCATTATTCACCAACATCTTCCAAGATAAATTACACTACCAACCTATAAGACGATCGAGTTAATCATCTCAAACAGATGATTTTCAGTTACTAATCAAGACATAAATCCAATTTTTACTTGCTAATTGGCATTTGTTTTATCTAGGTGTTGTCTAATCAGAGTTCTAATTAGAACTGGTTGCAATTTCGTTTGTCAAAATAAACATTTTCAAAACACTAAAGCTTTCGTGGAGCACATCGCTTTGCTGCCATTTCCAATGGGGTAGGTTCTGAATCTCCGACCAGAAACTCCAATCAGACAGGGTGAAATGAATAAGAAAACTTGGAATTTTGGATCTGAAAATGCGTATTTGCAGGCAGCTTCATGTATAATTTTACAAGATTATGCTCTGGTAGAAAATAAATATTTGATCTTCAAAGACTTCAAAACCCCATGAAATGAGATTTTGTTGGTCAGATAATTCTGACAATACTCCTTCTGCCTTGTTCAACATTGTTCTGCTCTGCTGATTTTGCAAATACCTTGACACCACATTTTGTGTTCCTGAACACCTGGAATTGTGTGCAACATACAGCACATCACCTTCGAGAGTATGTGGTCTAACAAAACTTGTGACAATCCTTTTGCCACTCCTGGAATTTTCTCTTCTCTTTTTTCAGATTCAGAGTACACACATCATTATTGTTTTTTACCCGTGTTCAGCTTTGTATTGTTACCAGTGAACAAAGCACATGAACTGAACTCATACCAGAGTTTAAGAATACATGTTGTATTAAAAATCCACGTATATCAGAGAGTAAAAAAGCTTTCTTAAGAGTAAAATTGCCTTGCAGAGTTAGTGCAATATAAAATAACTGAAAAATTGGAAGGTAACAAACTCTTTTTCATATTCACAAGCAATAGGTCAGGTAAAAATGGGCTTAAATTTCATCAGGAATAATTTTAGTTAGACTTCAGGAAAAAAAAAATTAACCATGTTAAGCACTGGAAAATGAGATTTGTGGAAGCTCCATCATTTAAGTGTTTTACAATGTGAGTGGAAAAGCATCTGTTAGGAATGGTTTAAGTAAATCTGATGCTGCTGTCAGGCAAAGAGATGGATTTGATTGCCTCTCAAAATTCTCTTTTACTGTCTGTGCCTCATTTTCTACTGAAGATGCACACTGTCTGCATTTATCTAACCTCTGACTGGTTCACAGACCAGTCTCTATAAAGAATGTTTTGTCCTCAGTTCTTACATGCTTCTTGTAGATATTGAGCTCTGTTTCCTTCTAGAGGACTGAGTACAATCTGCTGTTCTCATGGTAACATGACCCCAAGGAGGGCAAGCAAATGCCTGCACTAGTTGACCCTCTCCTATTTATTACTGTATGGTCTTTCCACATGTAGTTTCACATAGTCAGATACAGTCTGACAGTTTGGGGTTAACAAGAACCTGGACTGTTGTGGATACCTGGAACAAAGGAGTGAATTTTTCAGCAAGCTAACTAGGAGAATAAAGTATTTTGTCTACTCCTATTACCTAACCACCTAAATATTCAGCCAGCACTTGAGGGACTGGCACCATGATGCTTTTGATGGAAGCTGAAGATAATTGCTTGGTTAAATCTTCCAAGTGTTTCTCCTTGCCTACCAGCATCTTTCTAGTGTTGTCCAGATTTATTCAGCAGAAAATTTCCTGATGTCACGTTGTCATTTCTGTAATGACAGTAGTTGCAGCTGTTGAGACAGATGAGTGTCAGTGGCACATTGTTAAATCTGAACCCTTCATGCATCATTTTTATTTACAGTTGACTCAGAGAAATACTGAAGAGCAAATTACTTTGGATAGATACCTCTATAGCTTGCGAATAAGATAAAAGGGAAAGAAGCAGTACTGCTGAGAACAACTGTGACTACTGTCAGATGAAGCTATTACTGTCAGATCACATTCTTCCTGTTCTTTGTTGTAAATCCAGACATTGCAAAGGCTCCTGAGGTGTGCAGCCATATAAGAACGGAGGTCTTACCCCTGTCTACAGGAGACATTGCATCATCCACATACAGCACAGTGGTTATGCCACATGCAGTTGGAGCTCAGAGTTTACTAGTCACTTAACTGTTTATTCAAGATGAGGATTATGGAGCTCTGGAATGAGTTGAAATTCACTTCAGGGTCGAGTTTGTAGAAGATTTGAAGAGTCAAGTATTGGTTTGTCTGGGACTATTTCACTGTCAGTAAGTTAGACAGAGATGTTCCCCTGAAGGAGACGCTACTTGCTTCTGTTTAAGGAGGCACTCCAGAAAGTGTTGGTGGGGTGGTTTTGGCACTCTGCTGTCAAGGCAGCTCTCTCAACCCTTGCCCTGGGAGCGGTGGAACTGTATGGAAGCGGTTCTAACTGTAAATGGATGTTGGTAACTTGAGCTGAGGAGCCGTAAGCAGCCATATGCAGCACTGCCCCATGTCTCCCTTACATGCAGGTGGCTTCAACAACAGATGTGTTACAGCAGTGCTAACAGGATGAGCCTGAGGAGTTCCATGGTCCTTTGCACTTTTTTGGTCAGTGATCTTAATCACCGATCACTGCAAGTGAAAAAGCAAGTGAAAAAGATGATTCAAGGCCTCAGTCCTGTGTGATACTGAGCACGCCTGCACATTGTTATGCCCCAGCTGGTCATAAGTATGTGGCAGTTGAGGGCACTCAACACCTTGCAGGATCAAACCACGGAGTGAAAAAAACAACACCTCTAATCAATAATAGAGACAGAAAAAGTGGATTTATTATGAGTACTGATTGAATAACTAGATTAAGAGTAATTGAGGACAAGATCAAAGAGATGAGGAAGCTTTAACTTCTTTGGGGACTGTTGCTATAGCACAGATTTTATTTACAGTCTCCTGCCAGAAAAAAATCTGTTGTCTATTGCTGTCAGTTTCTAGTGGACCACAAACTGCTTTGATAGTTGCAGTTGCAATGAGGGATGTGACAAATCCATGTGTTTAAGATGCACCAAGTGCCAAATACTAGAGTTGATTCTCTCTGGCTAACAAGTACGGATGTGTGTCAGTGTGAGACAGGAGCTTGAAAGCAGCCACAGTAACTACAAGATGTGTGGGAGAGATGAGAACTTAATACTGTCACTAAAAGCAGCTGACAGCTCAGAGAACAGAGAAGCAACACTGCAAGTGTCATGTTTTTAGTCTTACGATACTTTTTCTTTCATCGTTTAACAGCATTTACAGAAAGATATATGGGTTGGGCTTTTAGGGTTTCCTTACAATTTATTCTACACTTACTTTCATCATTCTCTGTTAGCTATCTTAAAGTCATCTTTGTTACAACTGCTTGCAATGTCCAGAGGAGATAATTAAAACTGCAGCTGGTAACAGCAGGAGTATTAAACTCTTAAGACCAAACCTCACAGTTTTCATGTGAATGACTTGACAGTAGTATATCAGGAAAAGAAAAATCAAGAAATAGAAAGAAGGTGATGTAAAGCAAAGCGCTTCTACTAGTAGGAAAAGAATTGGTGGGCAAATCCAAGTAGAGTGATACTAAGAAAGATTCCTGGTCCTAGTTCTTCACTCTGTTGTAGATAATGAAGTAGTCATCACATAAAGGACTATCATTTGTTCTGGAAAAGGAGACTGCAGTGCAAGTTGTTGACTTTGGCGACTTTTTTATAAAATGGTCCAGAAGAGACAGGAAAGCATAGGATGAGAAAGAGAACTCAAAAATTAAGTTCTTGGACATACTCCGTAGTGTCAGCTGCCATTGCACTTTTGTGATGGGAGCAACCAATGTATTTATTGATAACGGAGGTGGCTTCTTAATGTATGTATCAGTAGAAGGTTCTGAATACTAAAATTACAAAGGTACCCACCAGTCCCTTATGTTTTTGTGTTCCACTTTTGGGTATCGGTCTCCACAACTGTGTAATATCAGAGTGAGAAAGCATCGGCTCCTGCTTTCACCCTCTGAGGTACTGCTCCATTTTAAAAACATTTCACCTGGCCCTTCTCCAATAGTGGCCAACAGCAGCTATAGGGAAGAGTACAAGAACATGCAGTATTTTCTCCACGTCACTTCATAAAAGCACTTGGCCTTCACCCAGAAACTGCCAGCAAATATTGAGTACAGTGTATTGCCAGAGTCCTCTAAACACATTTCCCATGTAAGACAACACCCGTTTTCAGTCAGTACAAATTTGGGCTGAATATGGCATCTTATGAAAGGGTTTGTTTTTATTCAAGTTTGTTTTTTTCACAAAAAGAGTAGTAAGTCAATCTATTTAGATGCACAGAAAGGAAAACCAACTCCATAGCAGAATTGGATTTATTTATAAGTTATGGAATCTGAAGTTATTCTTAAATACAAATAATATAGAAGCAAACACAAAACTTGTGCCAAAGAAACGGGAAAATGGCTAACTGAACAAGGTCATGCTGGAATCATGTGAATAGAAATCACTATTTTCTGTGATCATTCACTTACATTTAAAGTAAAACGGAGCCCTTAGCCCTCCAATTTACAATGCACAGAGAATTTGGAACTCTTGCCCAGAATTGTTGACAATCCGTTGTTTATTGTAAATCATATGGACTTAATTTTCAAAATCTGTATTACATAAAACAGGATAAAATATTATTTTCTAGTGCTTTTCATTCAGATGGCTTTTGCGGTGCTCCTGGGACCATATCTGAATGTTTAAGTGTGTGCCATATGTGAAAATACCTGGGTACATTAATACACTAAATTTAATTCCAAAGAAGACCTATTCTCCAGCGACTTTCAGCTCAGCATGGGTGAAGAGGTAATCATGAAGATCAGGAGACTGTGTGAAGAGGTATCTCCCCTTCTCCTTAATTCCTGATTGATTTAGATGCTTTAATATCATATTGTTCATTTTCTTAAGCTCTTCTATGTTCTTCTTTTCAGATATTAGTCTGCTTGATATTTGGTCCATCTTGTTTCTAGTTTGAACTGAAAAGAAAAATGTACCGCATTACATTGGCAACTTTTATGTTAAGAGCATCACTACCCTTTCTTGTGTTCCTGTGGGATTTTGTAGGGAATTATGATGACTAAAAATATTAAACAGGAAAACAACTGCAGAACCTAATGATAAATTACGCATCTGGTGAAGTTACCTGTTCACTACATTTTTAATTGCTTATTTTCTGTTTTATTCAGTTTGGTGCAGTGTAATAAAATCACATACAGCTCAGAGGAATTTTTCAGTCTTCAGGTGTGTAACCTTTCCATTAGTGTCCCCAGAAAAGTTTCTTATTTGAGGGCTTCAGTATGCTATTTCTGGGCAGTATGTGCCTGTATTTTTCTAAAAGTACAATTACTAAAACACACAGCAGACTAGACACATCACTGGATTTCTGAAAGCATTTAGATTAAAGGAAAATCAGAGGCCAGTTTCCTCTGAAACACCAGTATGCAGTATCCATCACGTACACTTCTGGAGCTCTTTTTCTTTTGGCCTTCTGAAGTTAACAAAATTTACCCATGGGTTTTGAAGCTTAAGTCTAGTAGTGCCAATGCTAAATGATTCTACGTCTGCGGATTGCAAACATCAATATGAGATTATAATTGTAACATAATCTGAAACTCTGCTTGAAATCAGTTTCAGAAACCACAGGCCTCCACCAATCTGAGCCCAGGCAAACTCCTTTAATCCCTGTAAATAACCTTTTCACTATTACTTTACAATTTTTCCACTAGGGGGGCACATTACTCATTTTTCTATACCAGGGCTCTACTTTTAGTAGCTCCCCATTAAATAAATCTGGAATTCAAGTATGAGATATTTTCATTAGGGTTTTACAATCATGACACTTAAAATTTCCTTTGTGCTCTTTGCTTGTCTGGTATTCTGTTCTTTGAGCGCTTGTGAGCAAATTCAGTCAAGGCTTAGGATTCAGAAAGGAAAATGAGGATTTTTGCTATGCTCCAGCTAATTCCCTACCATAGGATAGAAGAAATTTTGATTTCACATAGATTCCAATTCATTCAAAATGGACTTGTAAGTTAAAACAATGCACCTTGTACTCTGTTCAATACGATTAGCCCAGACATCTCCAAGGTGGTAAGAGCTCCATAAACCAAGGTCACCTGTAGGTATGTGTTTAGCTAAGCCAGCCTGATGACACCAGCCAAAGAGGAACAGTAATTACCTCTATAGACTCAATGCTATGTGCTAATTTTGATATATCTTGTCTGATTTTTGGTTTGTTATGTTTGAGATTTTCTTAGTTCCAAGCCAATTTCCAGTCAGTATTTTGCTGGCAACCTTCAGGTCTTTTGTCAGTAGCCTGAATTAAGAGTTAGCCTGGGTGTAATTCCAGTTTCAGTGGAATTACAACAATACTGAGTTTTATCAGGAAAGGAATGGGAGGCATGTTGTCAAAGTATCTCACTGCCATACAGTCATCTTTAAAATATAATTTAATTTCCAGTCAGCATTTTTAGCAACACAGTATAACCGTGCTGAGCTAAATTCTTCACAGCTGTTGAAGCTCCCAAAACCTTTGCACTAAGAACAAAATTGTGCCTTTTAGCTCAGAGAGTAGAGGCCTGTGCTTTTGCACCCAGGACCAAGACCCACTGCCCATAACCAGCCAAAGACTTTGACCATGCAAATACAGCAATAGCACGTTATAAGGTGGCATGACACATTTCAGCAAAGTTCTTCTTCCAATTGGCCCTACATTTTTAAGAACCACTTTTTGGTTTACTTACTTATTAAGAATATTACGAATGAAACAAGTGCCAAACTGACGATCAGAGTAAGAATAAAGGTGACGAAGAACAAACATTGGTTTCTTATGTTGCTCCCTTCCATGTTTTCTCCAGTACCACCAGTGTTCTCTTCCTCATCTGTTATGAGATGACAAATCATTTGGTGATAAAGTTTGTTAAGGTTGCATAGAATAAACATGACAAAATGCTTCTGGCTTCATGAAGTGATGCAGAATACGTCATGATCTTGGCCAACAGATTTTTTTTTTTCCTGTGATATTGCATGAGAAGGGAAGAAACCAACTTTGTGAGCTCATCTTGAATTTAGAAGTATAAAAACTAATACATCTGTTATAGCTGTTGGAACATACTTGGCAAAAATGTTTCTGCTGTTGAAACACACTGTTTTGTTGATTTGTTTTACAGTTCAGAGTTTTACAGCTCCGTGTTACATGTACAAAGGTAGCAATGAAATTTTCATCAGAAGGGTTTCAAGAGGCCTGAATAGACTCAGCCTTTTCAAAAGAGAAGAGACAAAGTGTCATACTGAAAACCTATGTACAGATTCAGCCTATACATTCATCCTCTAGAATTGCTTCTTTTTCTGTTTGATGATAGAATTATCCCTGGGATGATTAATTTCCCAAATTAAGCACCTCATTTAAGCTCCTGAAGTTGGTTGGATAGGATGAATGTAGATCTTGATTTTTTATCATAAAACAAATGTTTTCAATATTCTTCTACAGGTTTTGTTGGTTTCATTCCAATAAAAAATGTACTACATATCCTCCCAAATTGCCAAAAATGGAATACTCTCACGTGGACTACATATGTTGTCCTTCAAGCCCATGAAGAATGAGGGGAAAAAAGGACAAATAGTTGCTATGCTGCCATCGCATCAGTGAGGCAAGCTAGTTTATTGCTTTTTAAAGAACGTGCTGCATGTAGGGAAAGTCAGTAGTTTCTCTCATAGAAACAGTTGTGATCACATGAGAGGTGGCAGTAAGCTCTAAACATAACAGGTAAAGTCAAATAAACACCCTAACGAAATTATTTGGAAATATAAAAAAAAAAATCATAGTTGAGCCAGAGTTGTTTAATCTCAAATTTGTATACTACTTTAACTACTTACTAAGTTTTGGTTTTATTTTATGCTTTGAGGGGAGCAGGGAGCTAATGTAATTTCATTTTCGTGTCAGTCTCATACATACTAAAATTACAGGCGAATTACTGTAATTTCTCCCCCTGTAATTGCTGTCTTGCCATTCTGAAGAGGGGAGTAGCATGTGCATCTGTGAAAAATATATTTCTAGCTCATGTTCTTGTTTTAGCTGGTAGAAATCTCTGAGGTCTTTGCAGCTGAGCCTGTAGTGATAAAGCTGAGGGAAGGCTGCATATGCCATTACAGCACTTTAATGATGAACCAGTCTGGGGCTGAGCAATTCACCTAGCTAGTAGGAGATCTCTGGGAATACCTCTGCTTTTCCTTATTGCATTTAACATGCTCCTGCCTGTGGGTAAGCTGAAACCTTTTAATATTTGGGTTTAGAGGTTTTGGTTTTCTTCCCTTAGCATTCATAACAAATGCATCATATACTAAGTGCCTGCACCAATATTGCTTTCTAATCAGAATAATAAGGATGAGGAGGGCATGCTACTGCTGTCTCTGAAGCATACTAAGCTATCAGTGTAGGCCTCCAAAGTGGTCTGTGCTTGCTCTGCCTAATGAATACTTCCTACTATTTCAGCTGGCTGAACATGCCAGACTGCAGTTTTGTGAGGAATCCATGAACACGCATTTTTGCCAAACTCTAAACAGTAGGACCATTTTATCATCTAAAACATAAAGAAATTACTGCATGGCTGCTACCAAAGCAATCAAAAGTTACATACATTTTAAATAGCTTTTATACATGGTTACTAGTGTGTTTGATTATGCCAGGTCAGATTAAGCTACTGAACAAAAGGATTGCTGTGTACTGCAGCAGTCTTGAAACATCATTTATAAACCCAGTTGAGCATCTGCTATACTACTAATAGATCATTTACCAGATTTTAGTATTTATCAGAAATTGAAAAATACTCTGCAGATCTCACTGATTTTCTGGCAAGAGAACCAAAATTTTATGCTGTTGAATAAGGCAGCTAAGGACTGTGAAAAATTCATTTTATGTATTTAACTGATGCAATAACATATCTACAGAATCTCCAAGCTTAAAAAAAAAATATACATTAAAAAGAATAATCCTAGAAGGAGCCAAAGCACTTTACAAATAGATGCATTATTTACTGATAGAATGTAGGGAGGAGCATGCATGTGATTATTCCACAGAATCGTATATGATTCCACAGAACCCTGTATATTTACCTGGAAAGTAAACAATACTGTGCAATAAAAATTACAAAAGAAAGCAAGACAGACACACTGCAAAGAGTTTCTTTGGCATTAAAACCGATTTATCCCACTGTCTTATTTTGTACTTGTAGAAGTGATGATATTAAGATAATCTACATATGAAAATCAAGTGGTTTATGTCTAACATCTTTGTGTTAAATATAGAAACCAGCACCATTCTAGTTAGTTGCATTAGGAGAAGTTAGAGGAGTCAGAAACAGAAGTAAAGGGAAGGCATTTAAGTCCTGTAACTAGAAGCATGATTAAGTTATGGCCATTTGAAACTCATTTCAACATAGCTGTGTTTCAATAGCTTTTCTTCAGTCACATTTGCCCTTACAGTAAGGGAAATGAAAGCAGATTCAAATATTGTTATGTGGAATGCTGCTAAAGAACTGTAGGTTTTAAGATGTTTTCAGGTCACAAAGAACTCAAATATATTGTAGTTATCCTTGGGGGAAAATATTCTTATTGCCATGAGAAATAAAAGATAAAAGCTGTATAAAACCAGTAGAAGTCTGAGAATCCGTATATGAAACTGTAGGTAGAGAGTCTGCAAATTAAAATGCTTAAAAGTCTCATGGGATATTTCAGATAACTGGTTTGAGTCTTTAGAAGATGTGTCTTAAAAGAATGAACAGAAATTCTCTGGTGTTTCTATTACCACATGTGAATTTTAATGCTTGAGAAGAATTACGATGCTATTTATGTAGTAGGTGTATATTGAGCATTACTAGGGATGTTATCCTGCAAGGCATCACCTCATGAATCCCAGTGGAAATGGAAGATAGGTTCAGGCTTGACAGTGAATCCCTAGCCAAATGCAAGGATTTTCAAGAACCTAATAACTGAAATACTCAGCAGGAGCAGCTAAACCATTAATCTGATCTGTCTAAATTATGCAATTGTCAGTCTTTTTCTTATATTTTTCAGTACCAAGCTTGACATATATATATTGGCCTATTGGGCTGTTGTCATCAGTGATACACAATGCAGTCAGCCTTTTCAAATGTCATACATAACTCTTCTTTGTTGGCCTGTTTTATGTATAGAAAACCACAGAGCATCACTTATCATACATACCCAGCACATGTTGAGATCCATCTGGACAAATGTTTAGTTTGTTTAGGTTGTTTAAGGAATCAACTACATAAAGTTTTCCTTCTTCATGAGTATCAGGCAGGTTAATTTCCAGGGAAGGCCTCTCCATTGTATCTAAAAGAAATAACTGAAAAGGTAAATTAAAACATGGATATGGGAAATAACTGGCAACAGTTGGTGTCCTGTTCTAAGGAAATGCTGAGCAGCCTTAACAATGTTTAAAATAAAGGGATTTGAAGGACCAGCACACTTGCTGGATCTTGAAGGCAAGGGTGACTCAGTACATTGCACTTGTTTATTCTTGGAGGTCTTTGGTGAGTATAATATTTAATTTCTACATTGCGTTTGTGCACATGTGCATACTTATACATACATACATGTATGTATGTGTGTGGAGAAAGAGAAAGAGAAAAATCTATTTGCCTGGCTTCAGCATTGGTCTGAACATTAGCTAGTTAGTTGTATAACCCTTCTGGTTTGGTGTGTACTTAGTAAGATGTAGGGCAATATCCTGACCACAGGGAAATCCAAACGCTCACTAACACTGCCAGGAAGGTTGTCACTCAGGCCCTCTGCTTTCAGCATCAAATAATTTAGAGGTAAGACAGAGGAAGCAGGTATGGATGTAGGAAATAATCAGCAAGAATATGGGTCTGCTTATATACCTTAGAATATCACTGTGAGATTATTTGTGAAAATTGGAGCAAAAAAAAATAGTCTTCTACTCCACATAGATGCTAGTTTTGGACAAGTTAAATCCTGATGGCAAAATGTTTTCTTCAGACTAATACTCCTTGCTTTAAGAAAGCACTGGCTGAGGCCCAGTCAGCAAAACCAGCTTCTCTGCAGTCTGGGTGCATGAATTCATTGAATGATTGCTTATATAAATGCATTTATGAAGGATGATTATATATAGAAAAAAAGCAATACCTAAGCAGGCTCCTCTATGAATTGCACATTATTCCTTAACAGTCTTTTGGTTTTCATTATGCTACCCTGACTCCAAAAACGTCTTCTAGAAACAAACTGCAGTTCTAGCCATAAGGAGATGCAGATGCTCTAACTAGGCATCGTAGAGTGGTCACTGAAAACTTCTTCTGTAATTACTGAAGAAAAATACATACCTCCAGGTAATATTCCTTTTATTCTAAGATAGGTCTTTTTGACTGTACAATCACAGCCTAAATGTACCTTTCCCTTTCTAATGAATGTAAGGAGGGAGCTCACAGAGATTAGTTTAGACTTGGAGTCGACTGCATCTTACCCATTTAGTATTTTATCAGAGCTCTCAAGTTTTACCTGCCAAACATAACTCAGCACTTCATGGGATGCAAACCTCCTGTTGATGGAGGGTGTTAAGCATCTAAGGGTGATTTCTGAATCCTGGGTGGGTTGAATGTGCTCTTGACGTGCCTGAGCCCTCTCTCTCCAAGCAATAGGAAAGACAGTGTGACCAGATTCCAAACATGGCCCTTAAATTAAAAACCTAAAGTTGGAGGAATACAGCCCTGAGTGTTTACAGAAAAGACCCACTCCTTCCCTCATCAAACCAAATGCAGAAGATTGTCGCAATTCCCCCAGATTTGAGCACACAGCCGAGTAAATATTCATTCAGCTTCGGTAAGTCTGAAGACTAAGGGCTTAAATCACTCCCGACAATGGGGCTCGTTCTGCTAGTGGGGATTGACAGGCTTACACGTATACTTTTATGTTTCTGTTTATAAGAATGTAAGAAAAGATTACAGATTATTTTCTTCAGCGTTCAGAATTGTTGCTGCAAAATACAAAGATAAGGTAGAAAATCTGGCATAGTAGTTGTTACCCTTACCTAGCATATGCTTTTTAGGTGTGCAGCAGTAATTTCAGGACAGCTGGTTGTGCCCACTGTCCTTCCCCTAGAGCATCGTGTGGTGCCAGACAGCGCTGGTTCTGCTGTCTCCCCACAAGCACGTCCGTGGCCAGCTGCAGTCATCACAGAGCCCTGCATTTCAGCAACGGCGTGCTAAAAGTTACCGCCTTCTGCATAGAGGCTTTTGGTTATTTTTAGCTTCCAAAGAGCAGTTGTTTCTCTTGGGTATTGTGATTGGTATCTCCCAGCAACTTCAGGGAAGACTCTTTAACAACTTGAGCTGTAATAAATGTGAGTACCCTTGATTCATTAATATTATGAATTATATGTTTCTGCATTCATAATTAATTATTTAAAACCGATTTCCTCACTATGCGTGTAACCACAGTGAAGATAACCATTACTAATTCACCAAAGTCTGTATTACATTTGTTTGATTCCATTGACATGCCAAGCAAAGGAGAGAGGATACAGATATCAGTGTCACTGGCCAAAAGTATTGATTATTTTCCCAACAAACTAATCTAAACGTGGGGTTTTTGGAGTCACTCTGTCTTGTACTTTAACCTTGCTTCAAGTCTTTTTTGCCCCTGTGACTTTTGAATTTCTTCTTAAGCTGTGGTGGTAAAATTAGAATGAGAACACATGAAAAATTCTTCACAGAAAAAAGGAAATTAAGTCTTAAATAAATTAAAAACCAGGAGAATGAAACATTACTTACAACATAACTATGTTCAGGTAATGTGCCAGTATGGAAGAAATCACCCGAAGAATACTTGTTCGGCTGTTCCTCTCTCCACTTTTAGACCCATAGGAACGTGTCAACTCCTGCAGGACCCATGAGGGCAGCTATGAAACAGACTGCCCCTTTCAATCTAAATTTAGAGTTCATCTTGGCTAAGTATACTGACTTCACAGTATTGATCTGTTTAAAAAGAAAACAGCACATATACAGCTTTCTTATTTTATTGTAATCATTATGATAATATCCTATCACGGAGAATGAGGTTTGTTACTGATTGATATTTCACTTACCTTTTAGTTTATGATGCCTTTTTAAAAATCATTTGCTATGCAGAAGAGTCCTATCTACAACACTAGCTATGAGTAACCAGTTTGCTATGCAGAAGAGTCCTATCTACAGTATTGCAGTAATGAGCACTTTAAAGGCATAGACTAGAAAAAAGCAGGGTGTTTTCCTCCTTCTCCCATGCACCTTACAAATTCAAGTGGGACAGTATTATGGGATGGACTAATTTCTACAACATCCTTAGTTGTTTAAAAAATAAATTCTGATGAACTGTTTGTGAGTACTGGTAATTGCTCCTTTGCAGAAAGTTCATCACTAATTTTTTTTCTTTCTGACATTGCAGAACATAACGTTACATGAAGGGACCGCAGTTCAAAACAAGGAATCCCTTCTGAAGCTATTCTATATGTCTAAAATTTCTAACCCCTTTAATCTGACAATAAATATATTTTTCTTTCAGGAAACGAGAGGATACATCTGACTCACAGCTCCCACCCCAAGCTGACAAGATGTGCCACTGCCCAGTCTGAGTGGCTGGGCCAGTAGCGCAGGCGCAACCAGCTTGCGCCCTTTCTGCAGGGGTCCTCTCTAAGTCCTCCCTCCAAACAAGGATGTGCAAGCCAGACAGAAAATCTCACCTTTATTCCTGTAAGATTCCGGACACCACCCTAAATGTAAGAGAAGGGCCCAGGGTTCTCCAGTTCTAAGCCTGAAAAGGTCTGTAAATCCATCAGCCTTCTGCAGGGCAGCAAAACATCTTGGCCTCTGTGGTTGGCAACTACCATGGAAGGGGGGAAAGGGCAACCACATGCCTGGCCATCTGCCAGGAGATGCTGTAGAAAGCAATTTTACAGAATACTGGCAGGACAGGAAGCTATTAAAAGTGCTGCTTTACACATAGCAAAGCATGCCAAAGGTCAGCTCCCAGACACTGGGAGAGAGACCAGCAGGCTTGGGGGAAGGGTTTAGCTTCAAGGGGTCATAGTCTTAGGCTGGGCAGACACAGGGAGGCAGCTTCATCTAGTTCAAGGATCAGAAGTTTCTTTTCCACTTGTGTGACAAACACTGCCAACACCCATCAATAATAGCACTGATTTCAGTTGAAGGCCTTGGTGTAGTCTAAGTACTCAGCTCCGTCAGCCAAAGATCTTATATAATGCATTATTGGAGAAAAAAAAAAAAATGTAAGCCAGAAGGCACAACTAATTAGCATGTATGGATTTTCTAGAATGAATTCTGCTCGAATCTGAATAAAAAAAAAAACACACTAACCCCCAATTTTCCCTTATCAGAGCAAGCAGGTAGTTCTCAGGCTGCAGGGCAGGGGTTTTTGGGGTGTGAGGTTTACTTCCTCCGCTGATAAATTGACATAGTCTTAAGAATGTTTATTTGAACAAGCACTTTTAGAGATCTTTTGGTTCAGAAGCTCCAAGTCATCTAGGTCTTAAGTGTCTTTATTAGATAAAGCCCCCATCATCCCTAAGACAGCCAGTTCTCAATTACTGGCAGATTTCAGTCCTCTAGAGCCAGAAACGGAGGGTAGGGGAGTAGTTTCCAGCATGACAAAACCCAGGCAGCTGGAATGGCTCCTGTAAGGTGATTTGCAGTACCAGAACGAGGAAACATTTATCCATTACAAAACTGATGACAAATCAACAGTAGGCTGTTGTGCAGACCCTGTGTAAATAAAATACACCTTCCAAACAGAGCAAGGTAGAGTTTCACATAGGATCTGCTAAAGCACTGAAACTAACCCAACCACATGTCTGAAGGGCCAAATAATCCGTTTCAACCTTTGGGTTTTGCTAGCAGCCCAGCTTTTCATTCATGTAGTAATCACTTTTACACAGAAAGCAAGCAGTAAGAAACATCTTTATTCCAAAAGTTAAACATCCCATTTCAGAACAGGAGAATCTTCGGTTTATTTTACACTGAGGCAAGTATTTGTCATTCACTACTTCACTCTAAGTAAAAGTAATTGAACTTCGTAGTCCCCTTCAGGATTAAGTCATACTATGTAGAAAATTTCTTTGTCCACCTGCCCTCTGAAGAGCTTAAAAAGTTAAAAGTAACTTCACACGAACAAGTTCATCTTTTCATTCTTAACACTTGGGTCAATGAATTCATATCATTTCCCTTCATATGAAGTAAGGAATCCAATCTGACACATGGCATTTGACTACAGATATCCACCCCATTTAACAGTTCAGTTACAATATATTTAACCTTTGGAGAAAGTTGCATCTAATGCAAGTGTTATAATATATATCCCTGCACCCAATCTTACATCAATCTATATACAGTGTATATGTAACTAAGCAACAACATGCATTCTATTTACAGACTATACAACATCCCTGTGCTTAAGTGCAAACTGTGACTACAGAAATTAAGAAAATTCATTTAAAGGTTACAAATCTGCTTCAGTTACGAAAATTCAACTCCGTGGAAAAGGAGATCTAGAAAAATTCCCCCACATCTGCTCTTTTATCACGACATTTACTTCTAGCCTTTGTCCGAGCCTTGAATGCTGCAGAGTTGTACAAGTGCTACAAGACAAAAGGAAGAATTAATCACATATGATCAAAAGGCTTATGTTCATTAGATTTTTGTTAATGTTAAGAAACAGCTGCAAATATTTTTTTATTACTCTCAAGTAAATTGATAGGCCTTCTGAAATTTATGGTATAATATCTTTGCACCAAAGGCTGATTCACTTTAATATAGATACACTTTAAAGAAACTTTGTATAAGAAAGGCTGAACTAGAAGCAATTCTGGAAGCCAGTCAGTCTTGAACATCATACAGACACAACATGGATTAAGTTTGCCCTCTGGATTAAACCAGCAGCAGACATGTACCCAGTGGAAAAATCTAAAATTAAAGCTCAGACACACACAAGAGAAGGTTTGCTTTCATTCAGGACAATATGGGGCACTGCTGGAACTAAACTGACAAGTTTAAAGATGTCAGCTTCTAGAGTATGTGTTTGGAATACCATTTAATTCAGAAGAAATAAATTAAGTGTATGGAGTAAAGAAAATGCATTAAGGTTCAATAGCTTACCCTTTCAAAACGGGAGATCTTCATTGTTTTAAGAGTGGCAGCATCTAGCATTACTGGTGGACCAAGCTCAAACACATTCCGAAGAAAGTCATTTGACTAAACAAGAAACATCAAATAATCAGTTTCTCCTTTATCAAGTCTCCAAAGATGACTACTGTTACATATCAAGTATTCCAGTAATAAATAGCAGCTATTTGACACAAATTTTAGTACCTTTTGCAATTAAGTCAGAGCTAATTAAGGCTAAGAACTAAAACTGCCCTCTTGAGAAGACAGAGACAGCTACCCCCACTGCTCATGTGGTTTTGTTTTGTTTTTTTTTTTTTTTTTTGTCCCAGCAAATTAGATACTGTACTTTTACATCCTCTGCACAGTATTAGGCAGCTGGACAGAGGTCTGTGTGGTTTCAAAACACATCAATTTTAAAATATGTCTGTAAAAGTAGTATTTAAAATCTGAAAAAAAATGCTACATGCCTGGGCTCCCTCAGTCACATAGAAACACAGCTGACACTGGACTGAAGATTTTAACTTCACAATTATCAAAGCAACTAGGGAGCGTATACTCCTAAGCTAAAGTTCCTACTTATACTAAATAGCTAAAGTGATGATGACAAGTGAACAAACAGTTCCTAGAATAGAGATAAGGACTTACTCCTTCCCTTCTGGAATGCAGTCATCATTGCACTGCAAGTTGTGTTCATTATTTTTAACTGAAACTTTGCATTCCTTTTTACAGGCTTCAACAGGAAGGGTGGGAGGCATGCAGCTTTATAGCAGCCAGATGACTACACTGTTCTACTGAAAGAGAACATAAGGATTCAGGAAAAACTAAGGAAGCTAAGACAACATTCAGCTTGAATCTCTTGCTTCTTGGAGAAGTCTTCTAATTGCTAACCCAGCACAGACAGGCCACAGAGGCAGCTCATCCAGACAGTTCTAGCTCACTGTAGTTCATTTGGAAGTGCTGTCTTTTAACACTTCTAATGCAAAGCCCATTTCACCAAGTTCTACTTATGATTTTGTAATTCAGACTGAATTACTACAAAGCAGCAGGGAACAAGTCTGAGCATGCAGCAAACAGCAGCTCACCTGCAAATGATACTGCATCCCCGACCCTAGAATCTCCTTGAAGGTATCGTAAGTTTGTTTTTTAACCCAGCAGTCAATATACATGCGCTCAGGTCCAAACTTAACCATCTCTGTAGGAAAGTCACGCTCCTATCCAAAATGGAAGGAAACAACATAAATAATTAATTGTATTAGGAATTATATATGTATCTCAACGAACCTTATTTTTTTAATACATTTGGCACACCAAAACCTCCCAAGTAATATAATATGCATATACTGAAGATTGTATTTGTTCATAAACTGATTGTCCTGGTTTCAGCTAAATCTAAAGTTAAATCTCGTGTCAGGCTTGAAGCTGACATTCTTTGAGTCCGAAAGAATTTAATAAAAAAAGAACACCTAACTTTCATCTCTAAAATGACTAAGATTTAGACTTATCTCCAGAAAAGTCAGTTCTGAGTGCAGGAGTCACCTTTAAGTCAATCTGTAAGCCTCATTCAGTGCACACCTTTCAAGTGTGGGGACTACATTTGTGACAATGAAGTGTAACAAGTGCTAGTAAGTGACTCAGATTCTACAGGCAGAATCTTAAAGATGACTTCACTTCAAAGCCTTCTCCTTAGCTTCTGATATGTTTAACCTTTCTGAATGTCAGCTAATAGTTAATATTCTTACCCATACAACAGTGTAAAAAGTAACTATCTGGCAAGTAACAAATAAAGTTTGAAAGGTATAAGATAAAATATAATCAAAGTGCTACAAGTTTGACATTTGTCTTAGAGGCTTTACCCAGAAGTGACTTCACTACCCAAGTATTTTTTAAGAGTCCTGCGTTATGTATTGTTCTCTTCATCTGGATATGCAAAAACTAGAAGACTACAGCACAACAATTAGGACAACAATTCCCAGCCACACACCCCCACACAAACATTTCCCTGGCCCCAGAGAGGGGTGGTTTGGAAAGGTATCTCACCACCAAGTTGCTTTTTGTTTATTATGTACAGCAGTTCAGTAAGAGATTTTAAAATAAACCTTTTCACAGAATTCAGGACACTAATTTGGATGTCCTACAAAGTTTTCTATGAAAAAAAATCTGTTCATGGTATAAAATAAAAATAATTTAGTATTTACAGGTCAATGTTTATCCTACTTTAAAGGCAAAAAAAGATTCTTCAATATGGAGATCAAGTTTGGAGCAAAATAAACAAGAGTTTTACTTCCTTTGTACTACAGTCATTAAAAAGCAGTTATTTCACACAAATGATCAGAATTTGAAATATCAGTTAAAATTATTTTTTCCTGTTGCTGAAACATTCATTCTATTTAATAATAAAACTACTTTCATTAAATTTCACTACAGTTACAACCCAGACATTCAAAGTAAGACAAAAGAATCACCTCAACAGCTCGCAGGACATCTCTGAAGACAGATCGCTGCTTTCTTTTATCTACTTTGGCTCGGTGCTTGTTTCCATCAGTAGCCAGAGCTCTTAGTTTCTCTGTTAGAAGCTCCATATCTTCATAAAAGAAATCCTAGTTAAAAAAAAAAAATATTTTTTATTTGTTGTTTCTGGCCTTGACATCTTTCTCCTGCAGACAGGAAAACGGATCTCCAAATTCTGGGCATGTAGACCTCTACAACCTGTTTGTTATTTAAAGAGACAGAGATGCACTGACTTCCTATAGTTCCATTTGCAGCGTTTAATCCAGTGAGAACAAAGTCACAGCATCCAGTTTACCCAAGTAGGACACTACAACACACTATTCTGGTAGTCAGAGCCACATGAAGCAGTACAGCTCCTTCAGCACATATATATACCTGTCTGTTCTGCTCCATAATTCCAAGGGACTCAAACGGCCTAACTCATCTGCTGAACCTGGCTGCTGCTCAGGTCGACAAGCTGAGGACACTTCCTGGTTATTAGGACAGA